GAAAAGCGGAATGAAGAGAAGCACAGAGGAGGTCAGCGAGGCTACTCACAAGGAAGCAGCCTCTCCTTAAAAGTTTGGATCGGAACTGCCTGGGGAATGAATCATGGGACATGATTAGGAGGAACCAGTTTGCCAAAATCTGTCCTTACCAAAATGTATCAATGTTGTCCTTTCCCCACAATCCTGCCATTGGAATTCCACAACTAAGCGATTTGGAACTATTTTTGTTATGTATTGATACTTTTAAGCGGGAGTTTCAAACCTGCCTATGTTTCTGATTGGCTGACAGTCCCTCCAGGATTGTATATAAGGAGGAATGCAGCCTCTGAGTTTTTGCTGAAGTCTCACTGTAAATTAAAGAGCTGTTGTCACTTGCTTGGTTGTGCCTCTCGTTATTCCCAAACTACTTCATTGGCGACGAAGGTGGGATTGAGGTCACAAAAAAGCGAACCAGTGAGACCGCGAGCTTCAGCTAGGCGACGAGGCGAACTACAGGAGGCATACCGAATATGTCTGCCTACGTTCCGCCCAAGCCTTTTGATCCGACCCGCGAAAAATGGGTCTCGTACCTGACGAGGTTCGAATGCTCGCTCGAAGCCAGCGACATGCAAGGGCTCTCCACTAATCGGAAGAGGGCCCTCTTCCTAAGCCACTGCGGACCGGATGTGTTCGAGATGGCAGAGTCACTGTGCGAGCCAACGCCGGTCCAGACCGTTTCCTGGGACACCCTAATGGCCACGCTCCGGGCTCACTATGCTCCCGTGCCCTCCAAGTTCGTGCAACGATACCAACTCAGACAGCGCGTTCAGCGAGAGGGAGAACCGGTCAGCGCATACATGGCCAGCCTGAGAAAAGCCGCAACCCATTGCGACTATAGAGACTTGGACGATGCGTTGCTTGAGCAACTCATCTGTGGTGTCCGGGACATTAGGCTGCAATGGCGCCTGCTCGCCAAGCCTGATTTGACGCTTGCTGGAGCCCTAGACGAGGCCAGGGCTCATGAAGCCTCCACAAAAGCCGCAGAAATGCTGCAGCGTCCGCTGACCAGCAAAGACAACCCCAAGTCTGCCCCGGTGCACAGAGAAGACGCTGGATCCAGCTTGGAGTCCGAGTTGGATGAAGACGTCTTCCGAACGGAGCACCAGAGAAAGGACACAGGCAGCCCGCGGCGAAGCTGTCCCAGCTGTGGAGGGCACCATGATAGACTGTCCTGCAAATACAGGGAGGCTATCTGCAGGCGTTGCGAGAAAAAAGGGCACTTGGCGCGAGTCTGTAGAGCCATTCTGCCCAGAAAACACCAACCACGTGAGCGCCGCAGCCAACCAGAATCAACGCGCCAGAAACAACCAACGAGAGAAGGCGGCGCGAAAAAACGGCGCGAATTTGAACCTCGAGATGGCCGCAGCATTCACATAGACCAGGCCAGCGTGGAAATCGAGGACAAAGTCAGCACGGTGGTCGAAATCAACGGCAAGCCATGCTCGATAGAGATCGACACCGGATCAGCTCTCTCCATAATGTCATGGGCGACCCTGAAGACCCTCCTGCCGTCGTTCCGGAAGGACCAGCTCTCCAAACAGAGACTGCGCATCCTAGACTACCAGGGGAACCGAGTCCCCCTCGAAGGCGTGGGCACGTTCCGAGTCACCTACGGAGACTACGAAAGAGACCTGCCACTGACCATCGTCACGAAGCAGCTCCCCAGCCTTCTGGGCATGGGGTGGTTCCGAGCCCTCGGCATGGGCTTCACCGGCGTCTACCAGATGCTCAAGTCATCGTTAAAAGACAGTCTCCTGACTGAGTTCCAGGACGTTTTCGGGGACACGTTGGGCAAGTATGTGGGGACCCCTATCTCCCTTAATTTAGACCCCAACGTAGCCCAAATAAGACTCAAGGCCAGACGGGTGCCTTTCGCATTGAAACCAAAGATCGATGCGGAACTGGACAAACTAATTAAACAAGGGGTGTTGGTTCCCGTTGACCATGCAAAGTGGGAAACCCCTATAGTGACCCCAGTAAAGTCTGACGGCTCAATTAGGATCTGCGCCGACTACAAGTGCACGATCAACAAGGTTTTGCAGCCGAGCGTCTATCCGGTGCCGATCGTGCATCATCTACTACACTCCCTGGGGCCCGGAAAATTTTTTGCCAAATTAGACCTGGCTCAGGCCTATCAACAATTACCAGTTGATGATGCCACGGCAGAGGCGCAAACGATTGTTACTCATAGGGGTGCATTCAAATGCACCAGACTCCAGTTTGGGGTGAGCGTCGCACCCGGCCTTTTTCAAAGCACCATGGAGCGCCTTCTGCAAGGGCTTCCTGGAGTGGTGCCCTATTTTGATGACGTCTTAGTCAGCGCTCAGGACGAACGTCAGTTAGGGGACAGAGTAAGGAACGTCCTTTCTAGATTTAGGGAAGCGGGACTAAAGTTAAAAAAAAATAAATGTATGATCGCTGTCCCCTCCGTTGAATTTTTGGGGTATAGGGTGGACAGCACAGGCATCCACCCTACCGAAAGCAAGGTGAGAGCGATTAAGAGCGCACCTGCCCCCAAGACCAAAGCAGAGCTCCAAGCCTTCCTTGGACTGCTCAATTTTTACTCAATGTTCCTGAAAAACAAAGCTACCGTCACAGATCCCCTACACAAACTATTGGGGAAGAATGTACCATGGGTCTGGGGGAAACCACAAGCAGCCGCTTTTGAGGCAGTAAAGAGACTTCTATCGGAAGACAGTTTCCTAATCCAATACAATGCAGCGCTACCGCTTGTATTGGTTTGTGACGCCTCCCCCGTAGGAGTTGGTGCCGTCCTAGGCCATAGACTGCCGAACGGCCTAGAGGCGCCCATTGCGTTTTACTCTCGCACTCTGTCAAGCGCAGAGCAAAACTATAGCCAATTGGACAGAGAGGCTCTGGCTGCAATTGCGGGGGTTAAAAAGTTCCACGAATACCTTTTTGGCCGGCAATTCGAACTTGTGACTGATCACCGGCCCTTGCTAGGACTTTTGGCAGGCGACAGGCCCACCCCCGCTGCTCTTTCCCCACGTTTGACTAGATGGGCTATTTTTCTTTCGGCCTATTCATATCAGCTTGTACATCGACCTGGATGGACCCTGGGTCACGCGGATGCCCTCAGCCACTGTCCCCTACCTGACTTACTGACCAATCCAACACCAGAGGACTCCGTCCTTCTCTTGGACACATTAACTTTGGGACCTATTTCCTCTGCCAAAGTGGCAAAAGCCTCAGCCAGGGACCCGATCATTCGTACTGTGATGGGGTGGGTGCTGAAAGGGTGGCCGGTCAAGGTGGACGGGGGGGACTACCAAGGTTTTGCAAACAAACGAAACGAACTATTTACGCAAGGTGGTTGTTTGTTGTGGGGTGACAGGGTGGTAGTGCCAACAAAACTACGAACAAGGGTCTTAGAATTACTACACGAAGGGCATCCGGGCATCATCAGAATGAAAAGTTTAGCCCGCAGTTATGTATGGCGGCCCAACATGGACCAAGTTATCTCCGAGTGGGTGGGAAAGTGCAGACCCTGCCAGGAGTCTCGCCCCGTTCCCCCGGTAGCGCCCATCCGAGAGTGGGAGAAACCAAAAGGGCCATGGGGGAGGATCCATATTGATTTTGCTGGCCCCTTCCATGGGCAAACATTTTTAATCGTAGTAGATGCCTTTTCGAAATGGCTTGAAATAATTCTAATGCCCTCTACCATAGCCGAGGCAGTTATTAAAGCCCTTCGCAAGCTATTTGCCACACATGGCCTACCGGATACTCTAGTATCTGACAACGGCCCTCAGTTCACAGCAACCCTGTTCGAGGGTTACTTGGCCGGCCTGGGTATCCGCCATGCCCTATCGGCCCCGTTCCACCCGGCTTCTAACGGATTGGCCGAACGTTTTGTAAGAACGGCCAAAGAGGCTCTGTCCAGACTAGATAACAGGGACTGGCAGGCCAGGATAGACCAATTCCTAGCTGTCCAGCATGCCACACCATGCACAGCCACAGGGAGAAGCCCAGCAGAGCTCCTCATGGGCAGGAAGCTTCGGTGCGTGTTAGATAGGCTTCATCCTAACTACTCGCACGAAAATTTCAAGGGAGAGACCTCTGGACTAAGACAGTTTCAGGTTGGGTCCCCGGTGTTTGCTCGCAACTATGCCAGCGGACCTCTGTGGGTTGCAGGAACCATAGTGGGCATAACGGGCCCGAAATCTTATACGGTAGACGTAGGGGTAGACAGACTCTGGAAGCGCCACATAGACCAGCTGAGAAAAAGGGTAGTCGGCGAAGCAAACATAAATTTAGACATATCCGAGCCTATCTATAACAACTTTCCCAAAACAGCTAACTCAAGCCCGGGTTCGCGAGAATACTTAGCTGACAAGCCCTGGTTCCAGCGCTGCCCCAGCGAGTCGCCACTCCCAACCGGGGATAACCACGCCCCGGACAAAATCCAGGAGGTTCCATTGGCGGAGCCGGGAGAGACAGAAGGTCCCTCCGACCAGCTCAACGCCCCACCAAACACTGAACTGCGCAGGTCAACTAGGACGAGAACTCGGCCTGGGCACCTGCGAGATTTTGTGTGTACTTATGTAAATATTTGAATGTTAGTGCCTTCTGGGAAGGGAGGAGTGTTATGTATTGATACTTTTAAGCGGGAGTTTCAAACCTGCCTATGTTTCTGATTGGCTGACAGTCCCTCCAGGATTGTATATAAGGAGGGCTGCAGCCTCTGAGTTTTTGCTGAAGTCTCACTGTAAATTAAAGAGCTGTTGTCACTTGCTTGGTTGTGCCTCTCGTTATTCCCAAACTACTTCAATTTTACTCACAAGTATTTTAGTGATGCAACATTTAGACAGACGGCTTCTTCCTATGTTTCTTGAGAAGCTTTGCAGTTTTCTTCCTGGTTGCAATTTAAAAAAAGTTCAAAATCCCTTACTGGTGGAATTCCTGAGACTAAAGTACAACACTCAAGTGACTGGACAAATGCGTATCTTTCCACAGAATATGGTTATTTCTTAGCCAGCGAACTGAATATTTTTCATTTGAAACGAATGTAGAGTGATTTAAAATAAATGCTCTCCTTGCAAGTAGACTTGTCCGTAAAAAAATGCCTCCACATCAACCAAGTCCAGAACATAGTTTGTAAAAAAAAGTCTTTTGATCCGTTAGTCTGGAAGTTGAAAACAAAAGAAGAACATAGCGTATCGCAGACTTCAAATATTCTAAAGTTACCATTCTTTTGTTTTGGATTTCCTGTTGTAGCATGACCCAGTCATTTTGCTGTGGAGTTTTCTTTGATGGATACCTGTTCTTTTTTCCTGTTTCAGGGGAATGCAGAGAATAATCTAAGAATGCAAACATAAGAATGGCTGCTGTCAGACTTTCAAAATGAAGCAAGATAAGAAGCAGACACCAAAAATGCTACTTTTTTTTTTTGTTGTATTTCATACTTTTTTCATACTGGCAGCCTTACCAGGTAGACCAGACAAGAAATATGACCAAATATGCTAATTCTACTTTATTGTAAGGCTACATTAACAAAATCTTGAAAGTCTAAAACTACAAATCTCCCTGTTTCCCAAGAAACTAAGGAGAGTCCCTCTGAGCCCCTGTGCTCACATAGCTTTGAGCTATGCCTTCCCTTATCTGACAATTCCCTAGATTACGGGTGTCAAACTTGCCATTTCACGTTGCTATCACATGACATATCATGACGTTTTTTCCCTTCACGGAGCTGGGGTGAGGGTGGCCTGCACATGACGCATCTGGCCCGCAGGCCGAGAGTTTGACACCCCTGCCCTAGACAGCATCTCTTTGCTCGTCTCCCAAGGTTTTCCCCACATACTTTGTACTTTCTCAGAGCTGTTTTGCCTCCCCCACTTCCTTCTCAAGGCCAAAGTTGCATTCTTCTATACTTGCATTTACAGAAGATCAAATAATTTAGGTTGACTATGTGATACACAATAAAATAAGAACAAAACAAAAAATATATATATTGACATAAGCTTTACTTTTCAATGTGATTCTATTTAACTGATTCTATTTCAATGTGATTCTTCGAGACCGCCTTCTACCGCATAGCTCCCAGCGACCGGTAAGATCCCACGGAGTTGGTCTCCTCCGGGTCCCATCAGCTAAACAATGCTGGTTGGCGGGCCCGCAGGGGAGGGCCTTCTCTGTGGCTGCCCCAGCTCTCTGGAACCAGTTACCTCCTGAGATCCGGACTACCCCCACCCTATTGGCCTTCTGGGAAGCGGTGAAGACCTGGCTTTTCCGGCAGGCCTGGGGCCGTTGATCTCGCTGTTGCAATCTTGTGAGATCCAGCCATGAATGGTGTGCATGGGCTTTTGATGTTTTAAAAATGTTTTTATAATGTTTTTTAATAATTTTCTATGTTCATTGTCACATTACTTTTGTTGTAAGCCGCCCAGAGTTGCTTGGGAGTTGGGCGGCATAGAAATGTGATAAATTGAATTGAATTGAATTGAATTTAACTGATACGTATACTGACAAAGAAATCCTCAATTAAGAGACAACAGAAACTGCTTCTATTCAATTTCTAGAAGGAATTGGGTCATTGATTGCATTTACACAATACCTGATTTGTTTAAAAATATTATAGCAGCTTAGCATTTACATTTCAATATAACTCTATAATATATGAAAGGGGTAAGTTTCAAATCCAGATATTTTAAGTATAATCAGAAACAGCTCCCATGTCTAACTTTTTTCTATTTTGTTTATAATTACTGTATATTAACTTCAGAAATTTCTCATGCGGTAGATGCTATATTTGGAAAGATTGTCACATTTCTTTTCAGGTGTTAATTTCACATTCTGTTCCTCCAGTTCCCAAAAACTTTCCATGCAGTTCAAATGGGGCTCCCACTTATAATCAGAACATTCAACAAATGAAAAAGCTCTTTGGACTTGGAAGACATATATGGCAATTTGAGACTGTACCTTAAGAATTATCACTAAATGGGTGCTACTAAGGCTTATCTCCCTGTATAACTGCTACATCAGTCACAAAACATCCATTTATCATAAACAAAACCAAGCGATTGGGACACTGCCATTTTGTAGTTCCACAGGATATTCTTTATTACCCCGCCTTAATTTTGTTTTGTTTTCTGGGAATGGCTGTATATACCGTATAAACAAAGCCTAGATTCCTGTATGAGGCAAGAGGCATTCTTGCAATGAAATTATGAAATGAAAGAAATACTCCTATGTTAAGGTATTGAGATTTAAAAGCTGACAAACTGTAAAGCTGATGCAACCAGACAGCTAATGTAATGTAAGACTGATGCAATGAAGATGAATCAGCATTGGTATCGCCAGTTGTAGACTAGAAAGGGGTCCACAAAAAGTTTTTACCACTTTAAGAGGTGGTTATATAAGGCAGCCAGGAGAGGGTGTATCCTTTCTCCTTGTGTCCGGTATTCATTGCTGAGTTCTCCGTGTAGAGTTAAGAAGAAGATTGATTGCTTGTAAGGAATTTGCCTATCACGTATATTTCTGTATATGGCTTGTATATTAACCACTGTTAAATGTCGAAGGCTCTGTGTGCTCATAATAGTAGTCACATTTCAAACGTTCTGACATCCTATCCTGTCTGGCAATAGTATCAGGGGTGCTATTCAGCAGGTTCTGACAGGTTCTGGAGAACTGGTAGCGGGAATTTTGAGTAGTTTGGAGAACCGGCAAATACCACCTTTGGCTGGCCCCAGAATGGGGTGGGAATGGAGATTTTGCAATATCCTTCCCCCAGGAGTGGGGTGGGAATGGAGATTTTGCAGTATCCTTCCCCTGCCACGCCCACCAAGCCACGCCCACAGAACCGGAAGTAAAAAAAAATTGAATTCCACCACTGAACAGTATGTAGATATAATGGATTACTAAAGCAGTAGTAGCAGAAGCCGTTGAAAATGAAAGAATTAGACAAAAGATGAATGCCTCTGAAGATGGTTGCTTGAGAGAATCTATTCCAGAGGTGGGCTTCAGCAGGTTCTGACCAGTTCTGGAGAACCGGTAGCGGAAATTTTGAGTAGTTCAGAGAACCAGTAAATACCACCTCTGACTGGCCCCGCCCCCATCTATTTTCTGCCTCCCAAGTCCCAGCTGACCGGGAGGAAATGGGGATTTTGCAATAACCTTCCCCTGGAGTGGGGAGGGAATGGAGATTTTACAGTATCCTTCCCCTGCCACGCCCACCAAGCCATGCTATGCCATGCCACGCCCACCAAGCCATACCCATAGAACCAGTAGTAAAAAATTTTGAAACCCACCACTGATCTATTCCTATCATGGCCTCAAGGCCAGGCTCCAAAACATGGCAGTGCAGAAGCCTACCTGCCCACACTTGGGATCCTAATTGTGAGGCAATGACCTCTGGTGAAAATAATCCTTTTCTTTTCTTTCCATTCCTGTTCTGCTCGGTCCCCTCCTCTTTTTGCACCCTTGCCATCCAAATTTGCTCCTCTTGGGAGGAGTTGAAGTCCGCCAGGCTTAAAGTTGCCAAGGTTGGAGACCCCTGATATAATGGATGACATATTTTCTTCACCATTCACCTTTATTTGTACTGCAAATGCATGCTCCTGCTGCCTCATCTTAAATCCTGAGTGTAAGCAGGTGGACATGAGAAGATACATCAAGGTCAGGAAGGCATTTTTTCCCCCTTCTTTTGATGTTCCCAGGAGGAGGCCATCTTGTGCTTCAGTCTCAACCAATGCCTTTCTGGGAGGACTAGAAAAAGAGTGATGCCAGACTAGAAACCATATGGCTTCTTGTTAGCTGCATCCAGATGGAAGGGAGAAAAATGCCGCCGTGCAAAAGCACCAGAGGCTTACAAATGGAAGATAATGAATTAAATGTTCTCCTTTAATAGCCGCCTTATCTTTTCCAAAGGATTCTTTGGCTTCTCTGAAAGGGGGAAGATTGAGGCATAAATTAAACACATTTTATTGTTGGAAATGATTTCACTCACAAAATAAACTTCGCATTGTCCATGTGTCAGAATTTAAAGCTTCTTAAACATATTCTCTCTTCCCCCCCCCCTCTTTCTCTCTATCTTTTCCTAAAAATGTGGATAAGGAATGAATCTCTCTCTTTTTTCAAAACTGCTGCAATTAAAAACTATGTTAGAATCTAAAAAAGCTGACCACTGCAATGAAACACAGATTAGCTGAGCAGATTTATTTTGCCAACATGCAAACATATACTGTGTTTCCCTGAAAATAAGACCCTGTCTTATATTTTTTTGAACCCTGTAATAAGCGCTTGGCCTTATTGCCATGAGCTCAAAAGCCTGATTGGGCTTATTATCAGGGGATGTCTTACTTTGGGAGAAACAGGATATGTACATTTTGCTCATTTAGTAACCACAATTGGGACAGACAACTTGGTTATTAAGTGAAGCAGTTGCTACCGCAAATGAAATTGCAACTGTGCTTATCATCTTACTTCATCTTTCCTTTGCTTTACAGACCTGCAAAGATCATAAATGAAAAGATTGGTCATAAAATTGCAAATAGTGCTAAATATTAGTCCTTCAATATAGTCAGGACAAAAAGCACAACCAGAAATATAAGCATAATATTTATTGTAAAGTTAAACAGAATCTTGACAAATTGAAAGGATTTCTCCCCTTCTATTTCTCTCCAGAAAACTAAGGAGGGTGTTCCCTTCTGAAACACTTCCCTTGCTTTTCAGAACTGCCTCTTATCAGAGTAGACTGCAGTTATTCTGATTGTCTTATATTCCCGTACACCATCACACAAATAAGGCGCTAAACTGAATTACGCCGCCTACAGTCTGACCTAAGCACAGTATACAAAATTATCTGCTACAACGTCCTACCTGTCAATGACTACTTCAGCTTCAACCGCAATAATACATTGGCAAACAGTAAATACAAACTCAAGGTAATCTGCTCCAAACTCGATTGCAGAAAATACGACTTCAGCAACAGAGTGGTCAATGCCTGGAATGCACTATCTGACTCTGTTATTACATCCTCAAACCCCCACAGCTTCAACCTTAAACTGTCTACCGTGGACTTCACCCCATTCCTAAGAGGTCTGTAAGGGGCGTGCATAAGCGCACCAGCGTGCCTACCGCCCCTGTCCTACTGTCCCTATTTATTTGTACTCATTTCCTGTGTTCATGTCTATGCTTATACTTATCCCTGTTATCTTGTGCATGTTTGACCAACTAAATAAATAAATAAAATAAAATAAATAAATGAAGAATATATGAAATCAATCAAAATCCATTCATTGTGGAATGGTATATAGAATAACAGAGTTGGAAGGGACCTTGGAGGTCTTCTAGTCCAACCCCCTGCTTAGGCAGGAAACCCTACACCACTTCAGACAAATGGTTATCCAACATCTCCTTAAAAACTTCCAGTGTTGGAGCATTCACAACTTCTGGAGGCAAGTTGTTCGACTGATTAATTGTTCTAACTGTCAGGAAATTTCTCCTTAGTTCTAAGTTGCTTCTCTCCTTAATTAGTTTCCACTGATTGCTTCTTGTTCTACCCTCAGGTGCTTTGTAGAATAGCTTGACTCCCTCTTCTTTGTGGCAGTCCCTGAGATATTGGAACACTGCTATCATATCTTCCCTAGTGCTTCTTTTCATTAAACTAGACATACCCAGTTCCTGCAACCGTTCTTCATATGTTTTAGCCTCCGGTCTCCTAATCTTTCTTCATCTTACTGGACTAGTGTAGGTTATTGGATAGACATTGTTTTTAAATCTCTGTGTCTAGGGCTGAGAGGGATTGAATGTCCCAAAGTCACTTAGCCAGCTTCTGCTCTCCTTGTTCCTAAACCAGTGCCTTAACCAAACACCACAGTGGCATTCATATCCTGAACACCATATATCATGTCATGTGTATCATGGTATGCACACAAATACTCCTGCATAAATAAATGTATGTAACAAATCTGCTTTAAAAATCTGACTTTCCAAACAGAGTAGATTCCAAGTTGTATTGGCTTAGCTGGTTTCCCTTTTTAATTCAGCCTGAACACCTTTTTAAGGTGAGAACTGAAAACTTTTAAAACTGCTCCCTGCTACTCCTCGTTTAGCCAAAGAAAGCATTTGCATAATAGCATTAAGTATTCTCATTGATGAGGGTCACCAAGAGATACTTCGATATAGTTGTCTGTTTAGTTCTGGACAATAGACACAGCAAGCTAGCTGGTTCCTTTTTTAAATCCAACTGCCTCCCTGGGAAGCAAAATCCTTGATTATAACTCCAGAGAAATAACTTGAAAAGTGGAGGCAGACAAAACCCTGGGAATCTGAAGTTAAAAAGCTCTCACCCATAATAGAAATCCTGATTTTTGTTTTTTTGTTGTTGTTGCTAAAATGAACTCCAGTGGATGTTATCTTCACAATGTATTTGTTATGAGATTACTCACTTCTACCTTCTTTTAAATTCCCTGGAGTAGCTGTCTTCTCAGTAAAAAACGGAGGTGTCTTGCCACAGCCAACTCAGGATTCATTCTTTTGTTAATGCAGCTTAGAGATTCTTCATTCATCTTCTGCTTCTTTTGAAAACCACCGAATGGTGCCATTTGATCGTTCCCATTTCTATCAAGTTTTTTTCATCCTTTCTTCGATGGCTTTTTAAGTGGCTTACATATAACCAATTTAAAAACTCAGTCCCAGTTTCTAGATATACTGTAAAGCTATTACACAGAAAGGTAAAGAAATTGAAGCGAAGTTGAAGAAGAAGAAAAAACCCTCATCGAGATCTTCATCTTCTAGAATAGAATTTAGAATCTATAGAATAACAGAGTTGGAAGGGACCTTGGAGGTCTTCTAGTCCAACCCCCTGCCCAGGCAGGAAACCCTACACCACTTCAGACAAATGGTTATCCAACATCTTCTTAAAAACTTCCAGTGTTGGAGCATTCACCACTTCTGGAGGCAAGTTGTTCCACTGATTAATTGTTCTAACTGTCAGGAAATTTCTCCTTAGTTCTAAGTTGCTTCTTTCCTTGATTAGTTTCCACCCATTGCTTCTTGTTCTACTCTCAGGTGCTTTGGAGAATAGCTTGACTGCCTCTTCTTTGTGGCAGCTCCTGAGATAAAGTTGCCAAGGTTGAAGACCCCTGGTCTATTCCACTATCCTGAGCAGGAATCTTCACTGTGGGAAACAATCAAGGGTGGGCTGCTGGGGGTTCGCAGGAGTTCAGGAGAACCTCTATCTAAGATTCTGTGCAATTTGGAGAACCCCCAAATCCCACTCCTGGCTGGCCCCACTCACCCGCCCGCCCCTCCCCTCCCCTCCCAGAAATCGCTACGCAGCCCATTTTGGATGCAGGTAAATACAGGGTGTGTATGGCTCGGGAAGGGTGAAAAACAGGCCTACCGGAAGTTCAGGAAGGCCAGAAACGGGCCCGTTTCCTGCCTCCAGAGGGCCTCAGGAGCCTGGGGAGGCTGTTTTCACCCTCCCGGAGGCTCGAGGAAAGCCTCCGGATCCTGGGGAGGGTAAAAATGCCCCCCCACACACACCATGGTGCAGGAGCAACTGGGCAGAGAACCCCTTGCTAAAATTTTTGAAGCCCATCCCTGGAAACAATCATAACAAGCTGCAAAGATTTGTAAGCAATTTCTTTGCACCTGCAATTACTTCATTTTCTGTTTCATAAGAGTCAGGACAACCATTTCTTAATTCAATAACAAAGCAATGCAATGTCAGCAGTGAGACATAGTTGAGCAGGAACAGCGAGAAACAACCAGAAATACACTCAAAGTTTCGTTATTGTAAATACCACGTATGTTTGCTTTCATTTCTGTTCTCATATTTCTACCACGTACGTGAATGAATATTTATAAACATATTACTTGCAAATAATACAGTATTGTCAGAAGAATAATTTGGGGTTCCAACTGGACCTTGGGGTTCTGCAAGAATAAATAAAAATGAGATCCAGACAGCTGTGAGAAAAGAAGAAATATTTATTCCTTTAAGGGCAGCTACAGAGAAATGGGATACAGCAGCAGCTTTTATAGGGGAGCTTGTCCTGGTGTGGAAGTGTCCACATGCTGATTCTAGGTAAGACTTGAGGGCCGTGTGTGTGTGTGTGTGTGTGTGTGTGTGTGTGTGTGTGTGTGTGTTTATTCCTGTGAAGATGCATTTCCTCTGGGACAGTCCTAATTCAATTAACTCTATTTGCGTTTGCAGACCTTATCCTTTGATATGTGGATTAGGTCTGGGTAATTTATTTGGGGGTTTGAGGAAATAAAAGATTCCCCCACCCCTGCCCATTTGCTATTTTTAGTTGATTAAATTAGTTTCAGCTTAACTGTCAATTATCTAGTGTAGATACTGATTCTCAGTCCATCGTGAATTCTGTTAATGTTTTAAGGTAAGATGGAAATCGTATGAAAAATAAAATCCCTGGGGGGTGGGGTTTCTCAGGTTTTACTTAGAGGCTGGTAAACACAGGTAAAGTGACTATATTGCTTTCTATGGTTATTGTCAGAATCATCAAAACAGCATTATGTTTTAAGGGAAGGTGAAAACAGCATAAAGAATAAAATAGATCTTGATATAAAACTTCTCATAGTATGTTCATTTCAAAGGACTGATAGAAAGGACTAATTCTACAGACCCCATTCTAAATTAAATCAGTGTAGCTTTCATCCCAATGCCATGTGGTATGTTTAGAATTAGCAAGTGCAGCGCACATGATAAGCAATAGCAATAGCATTCAGACTTATATACCGCTTCATAGTAATGTGAATAAAGTAGGAATC